CCAGATGAAGGCCTTCTGGGCCCACATGGACGTGCTGGCTGGGAGGTGTTGTTTCACTTTCAGAAGAAGCAGATTTCACCTTTTGCCTTCGTTAAATCCGATTTATCTCCTCGTAAAACTTTGACGCGACTGTTTTTTAAAGGAAAAGCAAACAGACGGTCCCTCTCGCTTTGGTTTTATTAGAAGAAGATAAGAGGATGACGAATGTGACAAACTCAGGTGTGACTGTTTAACAGGTGAGTTAAAGGCCTGCTGCAGCTGTCAGGTCAGTTCAAGTCTAAAAGGCTTGAAGGGCAGCGTGTAACCTCATATTTCTGTTATCATCGTCACATAATTTGAAGAGGGAAACGTTTTGTTCCTGTTGTCTTGTTCCTGTGAGGTCACAGTCAGCCCTTTGTGGCGCTTTATCGGCTGTATTATCATATTTCCTGGTTTCGGCTATTTTAATGTCTCTTCAGATAACCAAATGCCATCGATGCTGCCGGACACGAGTCACCGCTCTGTATAAAACGACTGTTTCTTCTCCTCTTCTGTTTGCAGTCCATCAATAATTAACATCAATCAATCCTCCTCCTCTTGCTGATGCTCGGTCTGCCTCCTTTAAGATGTCCCATCAGATAAGAGTGAAGCTACTGACTGCTTCCAGTCGTGGTTTATTCCTCCATAAAGGAGGCGTTGTACGGGAGGAGCAGCGCCGTAAACCTGGAACTCAGCCGGCTAATGTGTGAGCAGACAGAAGGAAGCAGGAGAGGATCAGTAAATGATGAACTAGAGGAGGACGGTGGACGTTCTGTCCTCGGGAGCTGGAAAAGAAGGAGAAAGATTTAAAGATTTAACCGCAGAAGCTTTAGCTTGTACTTACAGGCTCAAAATATAATGATTTTTAAAAAAACAAAAGGTTTAGCTTCAGCACGCTAGCAGGCTAACATGTGCTAATTAGCATCACACAAATTGCAGCTAAGGTTGAGGGGACTGTTCTGACTGTGGAGAGTTAGTTTGATGAGGACATAAACCAGGACAGACTCCTGCTGCACTCCCTCTGTGCATCACCACATCATGTGCAGTTTTGTAATTTAACCTGTTTCCTAATTTATTACAAGTTTCCGTCTCTTTTCATTGTACTTTTTATTTACTTTCATGCTTTTCTTTTGCATGTTTTATTTAGAATTTCTCACATCCAGATGTCCATATTGATGCCTGTCTTGTTATTGTGGTGGACCGGTCTCACCACACACACATCCTTGTGTGTGTGAGCTCACTTGACAATAAAACAGCTTCTAATCCTGATATGTCCTTCCACATAAAGCAAGTCTGTAGGACGTCATAAAAACCAGGAACTTCCTGTCCCAGAGTCATGCTGAGGGACTGGTCCATGCATTTATAACTCCTAGACTGGCCCAGTGTAGTTCCTTATGATCAGGATGTCCCTCAGAAACCTCCAGCTGATCCAAAATGCTGCAGCAGGGTTCTGACAGGAACCAGGAACAGAGATCACCTTTCTCCCTCATCAGCTTCTCTTCATGTCAAATCAAATCAGGTTTATTGTCATGTTGGTGTGCATCCAGCAGCAGTACAGGCAGGAGGAGAGACTTCCTCCAGGATCCAGTCACTTAAAGCAGTTTAAACAAGGAAGTGTTTCATGTCTGGATCAGCAGGTCAGCGTTCTGACAGCTGGTGGCGTGAAGCTGTTCTGATCAGTCTGGAGGTTCTTCCTTTAACGCTCCAGAAACGTTTGCCTCCTCTTCATTGGTTCCCAGGCTGATGAGCAGCTCCATGTGACCGTACAGACCTCATGGTACCGTATCATCTGAACAGAACCCTTCGTTCTCAGACTGCAGGTTTCTTGTGGTTCCAGACTTTCCAGAAGTAGAACCTTCAGGTATCAGGTTCCTCTGTTGTGGAACCAGTTTTGGATCGTTGAAGGTTGTTCTTAAAACGTCCCTCTTTGATAAAGCTGATGGTTCAGGTCCAGACTGTTCCTTGTGCACTGCTCATCTGATTTTTATCTGCATCCTGTTCCTCTGACCTCCTCCCGACCAGCCCAGGCAGACGTCTGCCCTCCCTGAGCCCGGTTCTGCTGAAAAGTTCTCCTTCTCATTGTCAGAGCTACTCAAAGGGAATCCCTGTTTGGGTTCTCTCTAGAACATATTGTAAGGTATTCATATGGGGCTGCAGGTGGATCAGTGGTTAGCACCATTAGCGCCTCACAGCTAGAAGGTCACCGGTTGGCGTCCAGGTGGGGGCACCGGGATCTTCCTGCGTGGAGTCTCCATGTTCTCCCCGTGCAGCGTGGGTTCTCTCCGGGTTCTCCGGCTTCCTCCCACAGTCCAGAAACATGCTGAGGTTAATTGGTGATTGTAAATTGTCCGTAGGTGTGAATGTGAGTGTGCTTGGTTGTCTGTCTCTAAGTGTAGCCCTGTGATAGACTGGTTACCTGTCCAGGTGAACCTGCCTTCACCCTGAGTCAGCTGGGATAGACTCCAGCCCCCCATGACCCTGGTGAGGATTAAGGTGTAGAGATGATGGATGTTACCATAAAATAAAATAAAATGAAACAGTCGGGTGAAAATATAGCAAACTGAGAAACAATCAGCTCATATGAACACGATCCAGAGTCACCGTTCTTCTATAAATGAACATTTTTAACATCAAAAGTCGATTAAGATGTGAGAACTTTTACTTAAAATTGAAATGGTGAAATGGTTAAAATATAGATACGCTTCAGAAATCACGAGTTTTTCTGGGAAATGTTTGGTTTATTATCTTTTGAAAACCAAATCAGTCCGTTTCCTCCTAACAGCAGCCGGTTTCTGTGACCTTTAGATCCTCGTAAAGTTTGTTTTACGGTCGTAGATCTGGAACAGATCAGGTCAGTGAAGCAAAGATTAACGAAGTTAAGTTAAGTTTCCATTGAAGTATCTCATCGCAGTATAAACGGACAGGTTGACGTGTTTTACCACTGCTATCAGCTGTTCGTCAGGGACTGAGAGTTTTTGGGGGGGTTGCTAAAAACTTCATTGACTTCTGACTGAAAATGGTTGTCCATGTTTAACGGTGACACTACGATAAAAACTTCATATGAAATAAAAGCATTTTGGATTCTCCAGGAACAAACAACACAGAAGTTATCGATTTCTGCAGTTTTACTGTTTATTCAATAGAGGTGCTGTGAAACTCCCTCACATGTACCGCCACGGGCTGCAGACCGTATGTAAACCACGGATTAGCTCGGCAGCGTGGATTTAACAAATAAAAAAGAAAGCAGGGAGCACGAGGAGGAGGAAAGGTCGGCTCTCATTGGTCCGATGGGGCTGACAGGCAAACGAGCTCCTCTGCTGCGACCTTCATGTGACACCAGAGCGTCTGATGCTGCCTGGAGCCAGCAGCTCACAGCTTACTTTACCCGAGATTAAAATAAAACGTGTTTATCTGTGTGTTACAGAGGAAGTAGAATACGTGTAAAACCGTCTCTTAAGATAAGAGTTTTAAATCCTGAAGGATGTGCCAGCTACTGCTCAGACATAACTAAAAGACATAAGAAAGGCAGTGAATAAAAGTAAAAAGCAATAAGATGTAAGTACGATACACGACTGAAATACAATAAGTAGCTAAATTAAATGAGAAGAAACAGGTTAAAAGTAAAAATGAGATGCAAATTAAATATTGCACATTGCATTGACAAGGACATAAAAACCCAGGATCTGGTTCCCATATATGTGCTGTTTAACAGTCTGTATGAGGGTTATTCATATATGAAGGTTATTAATTCAGTGACACCTTAACCAGCTGCATTACAACTTACATAGATGAATAAATGAATGTAATTTTGTGCATTTTAGTGAGTTTTTCTGCACCATCTTGCACATTTTCTGCCTCAATTTGAGTTGAATTGTCCTCATTTATGTAAAAGAAAACACAACATTTAAGCACCAGAGGCCAGTTCCAAAGATATTGGAATATAAATAGATCTGCAGTAGATTTAGTGTTTTACGAGCTGATAATTCAGATTTTTCAGAATTAAAAAGTAAGACCCTCTACTGGAAAAAACAGTTTAAATTAGGTGGGACCAAGACAAGTGATTTAGGAATTAAAATCCTCCCTTAAATTCACACCTGTGCATGAATATATAATCCAAAAATAAAATATGTAATAATGAACTACCAGCAAGGGGATTCTTCTGAGTACTTTTAACTACGAAACTTGTTTTCAGACTTGGAATGGGATGTTTTTACTCCTATAGTTAAAATTCAGTCGTGCATTAAAAACATCAAAGTCTGTAAAACAGTGTAGTTTAGCAAAAACAGCGTCTCACCTGTTTGCTAAACTCACACCAAGTATTTATAATAGAGGATGTTCTGTGTTTTTGAGGGAATTAAACTTTGAAACTACAAAAACTTGGAGGAAAGGTAATATTTTGGTAGAATACACATTTAAAACTATAAGTACTTGAACAGAAAGTCATATTTTGGGTGGAATAAACTTTTAAAACTACAACTCGCTGTTAGAAAGCACTGTTTGGGAGGAATAAACTTTTAAAACATCAAGTACTTGGATGGAAAGTCATATTTTTGGTGGAATAAACTGATTTGTTAGAAAGTACTATTTGGATGGAACAGACATAACACTGGTCTCCATCTCTTCACCTCCACTGCTTTACTAAAGCTTGTAGGATTACTTTGACCTGGATAACTGAGACAAATAAAACAATAAAAATGAGATCTTCTAAACTCTGGAGAGATGCCAAATGCATGAAGGAAGCTGATCCAGAAACCACATGTTTATAACAATAACTGAGAATCTGCACAGAGACGCTGAAACACCTTCAAAGTTGTGTAACTTCCAGGTAAAACTCCGACCTCAGCTCCAGGTGTGTCCAGGTCCAGGAAGCACCTCTGCAGGAGTCTGTCTCCATCTGCTGGTGAGCAGTGAGCTCCTCTCTGCCCTGAACTGACGCCATGAAAACAAAAACGAGCTGAGCTTTCTGCAGAAAAACAGTGAAAACGTCTCATGATCATGTTTCATTTAAAATAGTAAATAACCAGACCTTATTTTTTAGCTACAGACGGAACCAACCGGGGGTATCTGGACCGCATCCCGACAAAGGAACGTGTGAATTTCGGTAAGAAGCTCTGCACATGTCGCCAGTGAGCTAACTAGCTACATGCTAACCAGTTAGCAAGGTGCGAGCTAGCTCTAAACCTGAGACGGTACAGAAACGCAGCGTTTTGAGCGCCATAGCGACCGAAGCTAACGTTAGCGGCTAAATCTGCTAACTTAACAACACAGGCTAAAAACTGAAGCTACCTAGGTGCTAACTCGTTAGCTAGATGCAAGATAGCTCTTTACCTGACATGCTACAGAAACGCTGCGTTTTGAGCGCCGAAGCGACCGAAGCTAATGTTACCGACTAAGCTTGCGATTCTACATGACACAAGATAGCAACTAACTGAAGCTAGCTAGATGCTAACTAGGTAGCGAGGTGCTAGCCAGCGCTAAACCTGAGATTTATCAGAAACGCAGCGTTTTGAGCATCCTAGCGAGGGATGCTAATGTTAGTGGCTAAACTAGTTATTCTAATCGATAGTAACGAAAGAAATGCTGGCTACATGCTAAATGGCTAGCTGTATGCTAACTAGCTTGCTTCAGTTGCATTGTTTGGGCTAGCTTGTTTAGCCGCTAACATTAGCTTCTGTCGCTCAGACGGTCAAAACTCTCCGTTTATGTTTTACAGGCTTTTTACGTTTTATTGTCAAGAACACTTTGTATTCAGCAGAATGAGAAAAGGTCCTGAGTAGGCAGTATTTTATGTAGTACAACCTCAAAACTCCTGTAGCTATTGAAATTAGCAGTGGTGGAAGAAGTGTTTAATCTTAAAGAAAAGTAGAAGTACAGCAAAAATACTTCGTTACAAGTAAAAGTCCTGCATTAAAATCCTCCTTAAATATAAGTTCAGGTGTATTAGCAGCACAAAAACTGTTTACTATTTATTATGTCTGATTGTCAGTGTTGGTATTAATAGTGAACATCAGTGTGTCACCGCTGGAGCTGCTGCAGGTTCAAACTCCTTCATGTCTGCTTTTATATCCAGGAAACAGCAGAAAAATCTTCAAAGAGACCGTGGGATGATTATTAAGAGATAAAAAAATAAATAAATCTGGTTTCAATTTTTAAGCTCAGCTGTAATCTGTGATATTTCAACAATTTCCTTGAGGTACCCTACCAAAGGGATCAATAAAGTTCTATCTGATCTAATCTAATCTGATATTTGCTGAGATATCGGATCATTTAAACATTTATTGCAATGAAACCAGGTTAAAGTTTAGAGGGGACAAAATCACTTTTTTTGAGCTGTTAACACCTGAAGTGTCCCCCTGAATACACACTGCTTGTCGTAAGAAGCCAGTTTAAGGCTTAAATCATATATTTGTGTTGCATTAAAATAAATAAATAAATAACTAAATAAAAGTTATCCCTTGTGCGAAATCTTTACCTTAAAAGTTGCTAAATGTCCATTTATTCAGCATTTCCCTCTGAGATGTAAATCCTTCACTACAGTACATTTTTAAACCAAGAACCGTCACTGAGCTGAAATCTAATGACCAGCATTTCACATCACAGGAAAAAACGTTTTTAATGTGTTCAATCTATTTTGAATGACTGGAGAGACATTACGTGCTGTATTTATATTGAAATGTTCCTTATTATTGTGATGTCGCAGGCTTTTGATGCTGTTTCTATTGTTTTTTATGTGGACAAATGTACGTGTGAATGCATGTGATGAACATCGGATGTATTTTATATATATATATATATAATTTCCCTTCTGGGATAAATAAAGTATTTTTCATTTCATTTCATTACCTGAAGCATTGCACAGTGAATTTACAAACATGTGCCGTGACATTAATGCTAACAGTAGGGTTCAGTCTGCTGGATTATGTTCAGGTGCTTCAGCAAACCTTCACTGACTTTTGCATCCTTTTCCTGCAGGTTTGTGCTCTCATGGCAGCTTCCTTACCTCAGAAGCCGGGGATGGCGGGGATGCCCTCCCAGCAGCAGCCTCACCTGCCGCCAGGTGCAGCCTCAGCCGCCGGCCAGCAGCCCGTCCCTCCTCAGGGCGCCCTGAGAGAGATCTCGCCGGTGTTCCTCTGCAGGATCGGACAGGAGACGGTTCAGGACATCGTGACCCGAACCATGGAGATCTTCCAGATCACACGAGCCACGCAGGTAACGAAGCAGCAGATGGCCGGTTGTCGTTTTGTGTGAAGAGAAAATGACCTTTTTTTTCAGTGTCGTGATGAAGAAGTGGCCTAATTTTGGGTCTGTGTTCTAAAGCAGTGTTGACACCGAGTTTTAAACCATCATGCACACATAGACGTCAGTTCATCAGTTAAAACTGAGCTAATCTAAGACTGCAGCCCTGCAACGACTCCATCTTTGTAAAGCCTCAGTGTTCGGTTTTTATTGATGTTAGTTTTTGATCTTGACAAACGTTAGAATGTGTCACGGTCTCAGTGGAAATGTTCAGTATATTTTACAGAATGCTCACGGATATTTCACCCGGCCTGACCTCAAATAAAGCTATAAATTATAAAGCTAAGGCAAAAGATGTTTTTTTGAATGAGGAATTAATAAATAGTATTAAAAAAATATTTGAAAACAGGTGTAAGATGCAGATCTGTATATCTCTGTTGTCGTTCTTTAGTTGCTTATTTTGTGGCAATAGCGTTATTATGATTATTATTATTGTTATTATTGTTGTTTTTTAGAAATCCAGTTTTTCATGTTATAGAAATCTGGCACCTCTGATGCCCAAAACCCTGTCTGGAGATTTAAAAGCAGGTTTTTTTATTCCACCATCCGTCAGAGCCAAAAACTGAAAAAATAATGTGGTTTTCCTCAAACTCTGTATCTGTGACTTGCTGTTTCTTTGGAACATAAAACCAAATCTGAGCCTAAAATCTGAGTAATCAAACCATGTGTGATCTGCCCGATGAGTTTTTATAGCGTTAAAACAAACTTTTATCTTCAGTAGTTCCTCAGATATTGTTGTTCAAACACAGCTTCACATTTCTGAACTTCTGCTGAAAGGGAGTCAACGGGCAGTTTAAAAAAAAGAAAAGTGTTTGATATGACGAGCTAAAATTACACAAACGTCATTTTAAATATTCATCGTTTATGGTAAAAAATCTTAAATCAAATCAGAGATAATGGAGTATAAATATCTGGTGATCTGATGTGGAATAACTCAACGATCTGATCCTGACTGAATGAAAAATGACTTTATGAAATCATCAAAAGACTCACAAACCTGCTGAACTGATGTGATGAATACAAACAGAGTGAAATCCTCACGTCTCCTTTAATGTCTGTCTGGGGAATAAACTGTCAGAGAAGTTAGAGTTTGTGTTTTTCCAGCTGTAGAAGTGAATTTCTCTCGTCAGCGTCTGACTCATCCACCTGATTTTTGTGTTTATCTGCGTTTTTTAGTCCGTCTCTAATTCATCCAGCTCGTTGTTGCTCATTATGCTGAACATGTTTTTTTGTCTGCGCTGAGCCGTCCTGCCTTTAACCCCGGCTTGACACATCATTATCTAAATTATACATACAGACGGTGACAAATTAAAGGACAGAGAGTCCCGGGAAGGTGTTGGGACTCCATAACCTGCCATTGATTCTCCAGGAACAGCTTTGTATTGATTTTCAGTCCCTCTAAGGGCACAGAAGCATCAAAACCTGGCCAGCAAAAAGCCCAGAGGCGCCACATCTCCTCACAGCAGGGTCGAGCTTTTCGGTTTTACCTTTAATACTCAACTTGTCTGTGTTTCAGTACATGTATCAGATGTCTAACACTGTTGAAACCAAGGAGGAGGGAACATTTTGGATAGTTTTAGCCTTTTCCTTTTCAGAAAATTTGGAATAAACCTGCCTTCATATTAAGAAGATCTTTTGAAATCTCCTACAAATATCAAAGGATCCTTGTTTCTTTTTGGTGCAGCATGTATGAAGTCTGTCTGATGGTGTCTTAGCGACGCGTTAGCTAACGACAGACGCTGTGTGTTTGGTCCAGCTTCCTAACGGCGTGACCCAGAGCCAGGCCATGTACCAGGACCGCTTCGGGAAGCTGCAGGAACACCTCCGGCAGCTCGCCCTGCTCTTCAGAAAGCTGCGGCTGCTGTACGAGCGCTGTGTGGAGATGACGTCCGACCTGCAGGAGGGCCCGACGGAGGTCAGCAGCACGCTCAAGGCTTTACATCCACACGTTGTTATGTTGTGATGCTGAAAATGGGCCGTTATTATCGCTGCCTTTTCATCTCGGCTGGAGTGACGGTGCATTTGCAGAATTATCTGTGAATATTTTGCCTCCTTTCATGCTCCGTAGTTGGATTATCGCAGCCTCGTTCTTAAAAGCAGCAGGAAGATCAGGCCGTTTGAATAACTGCTGGTGTGTGTTTGCAGCTGGTGCCGTACGTCGGAGAGGAGCTGGTTTCTGTCCGAGTGGAGCCCTGCAGTTCTGCTGTCAACCAGGAGAGAAAGGAGGTTCTGGAGGTTTGTGTCTGTTCTCTGTAGCTCCTCTCAGACCAGAGGGCTGAATTACGAAGCCAGATCAATAGATTAGCAGGTTTATTGAGCCTAAAGCCAGAGTTCTCAGTGTCACGAAGGTGTTTCTCTTTTAACCTGTTAGATCTCCATGGTAACTGATGCTGTGGAGCTAGATCTCCATGGTAACTGATGCTGTAGAGCTAGATCTCCACGGTAACTGATCCTGTGGAGCTAGATCTCCATGGTAACTGATACTGTGTAGCTAGATCTCCACGGTAACTGATGCTGCGGAGCTAGATCTCCACGGTAACTGACGCTGCGGAGCTAGATCTCCACGGTAACTGATGCTGCGGAGCTAGATCTCCACGGTAACTGATGCTGCAGAGCTAGATCTCCACGGTAACTGATGCTGCAGAGCTAGATCTCCATGGTAACTGATGCTGTAGAGCTAACCTGGTCAGGAGCAGGGTATGTTCAGAGTTTCTGATTTAAATCGGGTGAAAGAGCGTCTCCCATCGTTTCATTTAGTGCAGAAGAAGAGTCACGTGATGCGTTGAACGCCTCCTTTAATGTGAACAGAGTCTGAAGCAGAAAGTCTGAGTTGATGAAGAGAGTTGAACCTCCTTCGTGATACCTGTGATCTCTGGCTGGGCTTTAGCTTAAGTAGAGCTTACACAGAGAAAGCCTGGATATTGTTGAACTGGCTTCGTAGGACGGCCCTCTGGACTCCTTTCTGTTGATCTGACGGCATCGAATTCGTGTCTGAACAAACTCCCTGCTCGCTTTTCCGTAAAAGTCAGCGGTTTTATGAGGCCAGACCGAGGAGCCGCATTAACAGATCAACATAACGGTACTCCGAGTTACGTGAAGCGAAACATATCAGGACTAAAAGTGGCTCAGAAACATCACAGACAGTGTTTGCATATAAAAAGACTTTTCCTGTGCACTCTGAGCTGCAGCTTTCTCATCTGTTGGGCCACAAACATAAACCTTCACTGAGACTAACAGCTCACAATGACAGAATTTGGTCACATGTTTAAAAGAGCTTGTTTGTTAAGTAAAAATCAGCAGTGAGAGCTAATTTTTAGGATTTTGTCTTTGAAAAAGTGAAATGTTCCCTTTAATCCCAGATAATCTAAAGGAACACTGTAAAGCTGCTGCCAGTTAAAATGATGAGCTTCATCTTTTACTGTCTTTGTTTGTGCAGCAGTCGGTTTATAACACAAAAACTATGAAATTCAAAGAAACAAAAAGCAGGAGTCAACATGTGTTTGGTGTTTTTCCTTCAAAATAAAATGAAATGAGTTGATTAAACTGTTGCAGCCTTGGTTAAATAACAGCTCTGGCCTGTTGTTACCTGGCAGCCTGGCTCACAGTTATTTCTGTAGAGGTGGGCTGTAAAATATTCATCACGTTTTATTATATATTCCACTAAACGAGAGGAGGATGGAGTCCCAGCAGGGTCCAGCAGGTGGCAGCGCCGGCTCAGGGAGGACACGCTGGAACTCTGCAGCTTCAGAACCGGGGTGTTGGTTTTGTTAACAGTGCAGCCAGTGTTTGGGTCGGGTCACATGTCGCCCCCGGGGAGCCGCCGGCAGAACAGAACACGTAGCTGCAGGCCGCTAAAGTTGAGCAGAACACGAGAGTCGGCTTGTTAGCAGAACGTCGGCCGGTTCCTTTGACTAACCGTCATGTGTGCTGTGCTCCCGCAGAAGGTGCGCCAGAAGAACCAGGAGATGAAGGTTCTGATGGACCAGATGAGGAACCTGCTGTGGGACGTCAACGCCATGCTGACGCTCAGGAAGTGATTCCTCCGTAGGAGAAAGAAGAAGAAAGGGAACTCCTGTCGGCTCTGGGACCTTCTCACTGAAACCCGTTGGCACCTTTGTCACCTCGGCTGTTTGTTCTGTGTTTAGTGAAAATGTGGAGGCAGGAACTGTTGGACAAAAGAAAGGCTGGTCTTGTGTCAGCCCGATCCGTTTCCGAGGATCGCTCTGTGTTCGTACCAGGCAGCTGACGGGTTTGTGTTTGCCAAGTGCTCGACAACCGTTTTGTAACCGTGTTTATTCAGATGAGTTATAGACTCCTGTTACTGTTTAAATAATCGCCTCAGGTGAAGAATAACAACAGAGGACTTCTTAGAGCGCCGTGTTCACGGTGCTGACTCGACACCAGACAGACTTGAATTCATTGCAGGTAATTCTTCCAGAGCGCAGGACGACCGTGTTTACAATGAGAACGTTCGGCCGCTTTGTGCTCCGCCGGCTGTTGAACACTCCCAGTTCAGAATTCAGATGAGCCCCTTGGCAGCTACGTATCTCAGGTGCTTTGTACATAAGTGTGTCTGTGCATGTGCTTAATGAGATTAGCTTTCTGAGACATCACACCTGTTTACCCCGAGGGCGTCGACGCTCGCTCGCCTGTGAATTTATTTTTGTAATCTGTGGGACAAGAGCGAGACCTGCCGGGTTGTTTTCTGTTTTGTATACAATAAACGTCTCTTTTTTTTCTACATGAACGTGTGTTTTAAAGCCTCCACATGCAGCAGCGGCCCACTCAGACTGCAGCTCCATTGTGTCGGCCTCCAGCCTCGGGGCCGACGTGGGAACGCACCATCTCCTTCACAACCGATATGGAAGCACATGAAAGCGCCTCCACCTACACACAGCGATGCACATTGTGACCCTGACCTCCTGTTTTCATCTCGCTGTACACGCCAACAGCTCCTCGGCGTGAGAATCCCAGCCGCGGAGGACGTCAGCGAGCGACTGCGATTGTGTTTGGAATAATTTTGCAGCTAATTCATTCTGCCCAAAAGGATTCCTCCGTTAAATTGGCTGCTGGGAGAAAAAACAAAACATGTGCGTAAGCATCAGCACGCTACACGCCACAAATAATCAGCGTTCTCATCAGACAGGAGAAGACGTGCTCGTCTCACAGCGAGCTGTGTGTGTTTACACCGTGTTAATTAGTCATGAAATACAAAGCAGCTCAGCTGAGAGTACAATTCAAAGTCAAGACCCAGAAAATTTATGAGCAAAAATGAATCTGGAAAATGTTTGACGTTACATTGACTTTAAGAAGAAAGCAGCTCCCTCAGAAGTTCTCCTTCTTACTGCTTTTTAACTGAATCATGGACAATTTAATCTGGCTTTTTTTGACAAGAATTTACAAAAAGAAAAGATTCTTTCATGTTAAAATGGAAACATTTGATTGCATCAGTGTTCAGGAGATGAACCTTCAGCTCCATCATGGTCCTGTTGGTCTCCATCAGTCTGAACATCTGGATGCTGCAGCTTCACCTCATTCTCTTTATAAAACTGTTCAGACTCCACACGGGTCATGAGTGAACAGAACTTTAAGTCCAGACTCTAATCCTCAGCTGGACTGAGGTCTGGACTCTGACTGGACCTCCAGAACTTCACCTTGTTGTCTTTAAACCATCTCACTCTGCTGCATTCATTCACCCTCTACCTTCACAAGCCTTCCAGGCTGCTGCTGAGAAGATCCCCACATCATGATGCTGCCACCACTTTTACACTTTATACTTGTAATCAGTTGATATTACTTTGTAGAAATCTGTTTTCACTTAGACATGAAAGAGTCTTTTTATATAAAACTCCAGGAAGCCAAACTAAATCGACCATTATTCAGTGTTAAGAAACAAACTTTCCAAAGGAGCTCAGTGCTTTCTGTAGCCACTGTAGTTCTGGGTTTGAGATTGTTGGGACATTTGAGAAAACATGACAAATTGAGACAATAATTGTTGGATTAATTGATGAAAAATGTTGAAATGTGTTTGCTGCGGTACTTGTTAGGACTTATGGACCTGTCAGAAGATGATCAGTGTTGTAGTACGTTCAGTTTTGTAAACAGAACCAGCATGAAATCTGGTATTTTGTGTGTTTTTCAAGATGAGATGCTCCTTTGCATAACAATGTTCCCTGTTGTCCTGCTGACACATGTGGAGCTACAGCATGCAGTCGTTTCCATCAGCCTCACTGATATATTTTCTCTTTTATGTCCAACATGAAGCTGGAACTGTGAGTCCTGCTCGTCTCTGAACAGTGTCTGCACAGCGATTAGCACACAGAAAAAACTTGAACATCCCGCAGCAGTGAGCTGCCAGAGTTCGCATTTATAAATCATTTTATTGGTTTTACAGTTAGCATTTTGATGTGAAATTATCTGTTTCCTTGGCAACAGTCCCTGCACAGCCACACATCGACAGTGCATGGCACCGATACCGGTCCCGTGAGACCGCCATCCCGTCCTCATTGTCACGGGAGTAGCGCCGACATCTGAAGTGTTCGCGCCTTTCCTTTTTTTTGAAACACAGATTGTCCTTTCTCAGCGAGACGCCCGATCACAAGGACTCCGTGGAGGCCCGTGAAACTCCTGGAGAACCATTTGAGGCCTTTTGTCAGACTCTTCCAGATCCCTTTCCCTTCCTGTTCAAACGTCTGTAGTCCAGATCAGACCGCCAGGGCCCGTCTGATGATTGTCCCCCGTCACAAATGGACCCAGCTGCTATAAAGTCCCAGCGGTCCTCGAGCCATCCGCCCATCTGCCACCGATTGGTCCACTCGTCATCCAAACGGCCGCCAGTCGAGCCCCTCTGTGCTGCCCGGCTTGGTCCGGCGCTGTTACGCCCTCTCCAGGTCTTTGTACTTCTTGCGGAGGACGGACACTTGGTCTTTGAAGAGCACCGGGTCCAGACGGAACTGAGAGTGGACCAGAGGCATGTAGCCAAACCAGCTGGCGAAGGTGTTGACACACTCCTGCCGCTGGTTGAAGTGCTCGGGGTTGGCCCAGGGGACGGTCTTGGTACCCTGGGAGGCGAGACAAGAGTCGGTCATGATCCGGTTCTGTCCTGACGTACTGAGACCGAGGCCTTAAACACAAACCTACCTGTGGACTGGGCAGCTCCTTGTACTGCTTCCTTTGAGCCACTTTGATCGGTGGCAGGTGAGTCACGGCCGAGACCAGGAAGTTCATCAGGATGTCCTCGCAGTTGGAGGTCCGATCCACCAGCGTCCGCAGAGACTGAGGCAGGTAGTGGGAGAACAGGTAGTGATAGTACCTGTGGGGCAGTTCAGAGGGGTAGATTTAGGAGGTGAGTTAAAGGCAGCAGTTAGTTTGGGATGTTTTTGTGTAACGAAGATGAAAAACGACTTGGACAATGATGAAAGATTTAACCCTCTGAACACCGACATCTGCCAGTAGGTTCTAAAGACATGCTAGCTTTAAAAAACATAAAAAATAAATCACCAGAGTTGTGCTGTTCATCAGGATCATTTCATCCTACATTTTTTAAATATATATATGTTTTCTTAAATTTCCAATTGACCAACTTTCAACAGTTTTTTTCTAATAAATTGAGGTAAAGTTTGAAAATGTTGTTGGAAACAATTTGATGTTTCAAGATAGAAGTTTACAAATATCTTTATAAATATTCATATTTTCTAATAACAGATTAAAGCAAATCAGAGACGGCCGAGCAGAAGGTCAGTCGTCACGGATGTGGAAGAACCCGACTGTAAAAACTGATTTTGGTTCATTTTTAAAAACTTTCAGACGTTTTTTTTAAGCTACTCATTTGTGAAACGCGGTACAGTTAGAAACCCTGAGTTTAAGCTTAAAATCAGGATATTTCACCAAAATCAATGAATTCTACGTTTTATTTTAAAAGCAACCAGACTGTTAAAAACAAAAAAATCTCAGCAGTGACCAAATTATTAAAATAAGA